AATTTAAAAATTACTATTTTAAAATTTATGTAATTTAAACTATATATATTATATTTTTTTTGTTATTATAAATAAATATGTGATAAAAAATAATTAAGAGGTTACCAATCACGAATTTCTTTAGAATGGTTATAATCAATAGATACAAACACAAAAAAGAAGACATTTTTAACATCTATTCGGATACAATAATGATATATATAGACGGATGAGACGAAAGAAAAACAAAAATAAATAAAACTACCATGCACCTTACTACTATTTATAGTACTTCAATGAAAATTTAGATAAATATAAATGTATTGTCTAGTCTGTACCTCACCGTCACCGGCCAATAAGGGACATCAATGCGTTCTTCATGTTCACCTAGGACTTGGAGTAGCAGCTTGGAAACCCATTTTTCAGACTCCTACATTTAATTACTTTTGCCCCAAAACACCGCAGCGTTGAAGTAGGCGACATTAATCTGTATCCTTCTTCCTGCTCCTCATCCATTCCACAAACAGCGTCTACGGATGCCCTTGTACAAACTGGAGGGTAGCCATGTTTATTCTGAAACTTGCTATTCATGGACGATGCTAACGGCCAGCCGCACGTCGATGACGACCACGATGGCTCCTCGTGCTTTTTTCTCTTGGGAAAGATATAGCTGATGAAATTCCTCGCCGCCTTGGCATTCGCTCGCCTGTTCTTCTCATGCATTGATAATTTTGAGTTGCTGTAGTAAGAAGGAGGCGGAGTGAGTGGAGGGAGAGTGGTGTCGGCGGAAGGATGCTTAGGGGTGCCGGGCTGCAACTCCCAAACGAATGGAACAGCACCGCGGGCTCCTCCGTAGTAAACTCTGGCAGAGGAATTTGCCGCCGAGGCCTCCTTGGACATAAGACGCGAGAAGAACTTGTCATCTTGCTTGATCTGCAGAGGCCCAGTCGACATTCTTGCAGGATGAATGTCCTCTGCTCCCGCACACTCTGCTTTACTATTTAACCGACCCGCAGGATACACGATCATCGTGATCCGCTGATTTAACTGAAACGAGATTATGTCTAGCTAGCCACGTACCTAGCTAGACAAATATAGCACTACTTTTGATTAATTTCTCCGTAGCATCATAATTTTGGGGGTAAAGATTTGACTTTACTAGCTACTCATTTACATATGAGTACTTTTTAATTCATTTTTTCTAGAAATCATACGATCCACTTACCATATATATAATTTTTTTATATTAACTTCTTAATATTTAAAAATTATATTAAATTTTAATTAATTTAAAATTAATTTATATCATATTTCATTAAAAAAATTTATTTTTATTTTTTTATTCATAAAATTTAAATTTAAAATTTTATTTTAAAAAAATAAAATTTTTTCTATTCAAATTAGTAAATTATTACTAATATATATATATATATATGTAACCTAAAAGAACTTAAAGTCGTGTGATAATTGGGTGATACCTTGAATCAACAACTTTCTCACACCGGCCACAAGTGGTCCTGTGTGGGGTCTGTACATCATCATATCCTGAGGACAGCAAATTTAATAAGGTGTAGCTACACTCCCACTGCATACATATACCTGTTGTAGACTTGTAGTTGTAACGCTGGAATAACACGAGTGCAGAAATTAATTATTATTAATAATTTTAATTTAAATTTTTAAGAATTTATAGGCTTTTATTTAAAAAATTACTAGATTAATGATGGTTTTAACTTAAGTATATTTTTTTTGAATAAATTAAAATTATTTTTATATATTAATTAAAAAAAAGTTTCATGAAACTTGAATAAACCACCTATAAAAAATAAATAATTTTAATTTAAATTTTACGTTATTAAATCGAAACGAGATGTTAATCATAAATACTTTTAATAATCTTTTGAGCCGAACATCTACATTTGTTGATCTTGGGTGAGCATTGAGGAAATTAATTAAAGTTCTTAGGGAAGAAAAGAAGAGTTAAGCAGCTGTACAATACATACAATTAAATTAATTAATGTTAGGTCTGTCAGATTAAGGCTGTGATCATTTATATACACACAAATGAGATAATTACTACCAATAACACCTGCCCTTACAGGCCCTTGGCAGAAGGTGTACTTCGAAATTATTTTAGTTGCGGTTCAAACCTTTTTCCTTTACCCCATGCGCTGTGTGTGACTGAGGCCTTTTACGAGAAAAAATGAATTTGAAAAAGCTAACTTAAAAATAGTTGGACTTGTTTTAGAAAAATAAATTTTTTTGACATGTGAAATAAGATATATTATAATTAGTTATAAAAGAGAAACAATGAATTATGTTATTAATTTTTTAAGATAGTTATTTATGAGTTTTTTTTTTAAGAAAGCAAGATAATCTATTATAAGGGAAAAATGATTGATTATATTTATATAATCACTTACTCTTCTTGTATAATCACTTATTTTTTTTATAATCAATTATATTTATATTATAATTAATTATTTTTTTATTATAATTAAGTATATTGTATCTCAATTTAAATCTATATGTGAAGAAATTTATTCTTTTAAATTATGCTTAGCCTTTTTTTGGTCAACTTTTTCAAATTCTTTTTCAAAGAACATCTCACCCAACAAAGTTATAAAAGTTATACTTATTTGAGAAGAAAAAAACTAACAAACAAGAAGGGTAGTTATTATTATTATAAAAAATGTTAAAATTATTAAAATTTTATTTGTAAAATAATTTTTAAAAATATCAATTAATTTACTAATTATTAATTATAATTAATAATAATTTTTATTAATAAAATAAAATAAATATTTTACAATTTCAGTTACTTTTTACATATTTAACCGTAGCCACCATGGCCATAGGCTAGGGATCGGTGTGGGGTTGTACTTAGATTCAACACATTGTTGTCCAGAAGATTGATTGATTTGTAGGCCCACTCAACCCAACATTATGAGTCTGATCTTTAAGAAGTGTCAGAATTGATGTGTAATGTTTCAGACTTTCAGACTCCTGTCAGTTGTGTTTTTCCATCTCAAATTGAAATTATTTCTCTCTTTTTTTTTTAATGGAAAACGAGTTTCGTTAGTAAATATGATGAAATATTTTAGAACCGATACTATTTTAGAACCATTCTTAATTCTTACTCAGCATGTGCTTAGGTTTTTATAGTTGATTTAAGGCGCGTTCAGAATTGTAGTTGTGATTTTTTTTTTTTTGTTTGCAGTTTGTAGTATTTTTAGATAAATATATGTTTAATAATTTTTTAAATTATTTTTTAAAA